AAGGTTCCAAGATTATCATCCAAGATTATCAACCAAACACCTAGGCAGTAGAATGACTCCATAAGGTCGCTATGTAGGGCCAATACTGGCAGGCACAGCAGACATGGCTTCTTGGCAATAGAAGAAATGTGTTCGCTGGGTGTGGTGACTCATGCCTATAATCCCAGAACTTTGAGAGGCTGAAGTGGGTGGATCAGCTGAGGTCAGGAGTTTGAGACCAGCCTGACCAACATGATGAAACCCCATATCTACTAAAAATACCAAAAAAAAATTAGCTGGGCATGGTGGTGGGCACCTGTAATTCCAGCTACTTGGGAGGCTGAGGCAGGAGAATTGCTTGAATCTGGGAGGCAGAGGTGCAGTGAACAGAGATTGAGTCATTGCACTCCAGCCTGGGTGACAAGAGTGAAACTTGGTCTCAAAAAAAGAAAGAAAGAAAGAAAGAAAAAGAAATGTGCTGCCAGGTTCTGAGGCTCATTTGAGAGAGAATCGGGGCCTCCCTGAGCTCCAGGTTAGAAGGGCAATCTAAATGAGTTCTTCGTGGCCTGTGCTGCTCAGTCCTAACTTTGGACCCATTCTCCAGCCCCACCTTTATAATCCCCACCCCATAGCAGCCTCTGTGACTCCAAACTGTCTTTCTGATATTTCCCTTTTTAGAATAGCCAAGCCTCTCTCATCTCTGCATTCATAGTTACTCAGTAAAGCTGGGCTTTACTTCCCTAATGACATAATCAGAAAATCAAGACCAGGAGCAAACAGCAGCCATGGCAAATACAAACCCAGCCTGGCATGCACAAAGGAACGTGGGTGCTAGATCCTTACACTGAGCGTCTGGTAACGCTCCTTTGCCAAGGGCCATGGCAGCTGGAAATCCTGAGCTGTGCCAGCGGTTGTTAACCACGAGATCCACCAGAAACCCAGATATGGGTATCTTTGACAAAAAGTTTAATAGAGCTATGGTGGCTGTGAATATACCTACAGGAGACAGAGGTGAAAACACTTCTATGAAGTTTAGCTAGGCGCTGAAAAGAAGATGTGATCATGGATATTCCGAGACAGGTAGAACATAGCAGGACACTGCCAAGTCCAAGGGGCAAGTGTCTAGTGGGTCTCAAACTTCTACAGTCAAAGGACCACTTCTTCCAGGGAAGCAATCTTGAGAATCTTTGGCCAGCTCTAATAATAATTACCTGCCCTTCAATACATCCATTAAAAGGCTGGGCACAGTGGCTCATGCCCATAATCCAAGCACTTTGGGAGGCTGAGAGGGGAGGACTGCTTGAGGTCAGGAGTTAGAGACCAGCCTGGGCAAAATTACAAAACCCCCACCTCTACAGAAAATTAAACAATTAGCTGGGCATGGCAGTGCACACCTGTAGTCCCAGTCACTTGGGAAGCTGAGGCAGGAGGATAGCTTGAGCACAGAAGTTCAAGTCTGCAGTGAGCTAAGATTGAGCCACTGCACTCCAGCCTCGGCAACATAGCAAAACCTTGCCTCAAAAAAAAGATAAAAATACGGAGAATTCTATCAACAGATAAATGGATAAACAAAATGTAATACATACATATGGAAACTGCTCAGCCTTCATAAGGAATGAAATTCTGATTCATGCTACAACACGCAGGAAACTTGAAAACATTAATGCTAAGTAAACTAAGCCAGACACCAAAGAACAAATATTATACAATTCCATTTATACAAGGTACCCAGAATAGGCAAATTCATAGACAAAGAAAGTAGAACAGGAGTTACTAGGAGCAAGCGGGAGGGGAGAATGGGAAGGTATTGTTTAATGGGTACAGAGTTTCTGTTTGGAACGATGAAAAGTTCTGGACACGCATAGTTATGATGATTGTACAACACTGAGAATATTATCAATGCCAATGAATTGTATGCTTAAAATGCTTAAAATGGTAAATCTTATGTTACACATATTTTATTAATAACAATAAAATTTTAATGTGAAAAATGGCATTGCTTTTCAAAAAATAGGAGTAAGGTAATTTTTAAAAGACAACTATTAATAAGTAAATAATTTACATCTGAAATTACGTAACAATTAGAATCAGCAAGGAAGACCCATGCTAATCTGTATCAGTGGCCTTTAGGCCACAATGTGACAGCCACGTCCCTCATTCTGGCCCAAGCTCCTGCTGTTCAGAAGCAATGAAGGAATACGTTTACCCATTTGGAGCCAGTGTCCTTCGTTATTTAACTACTGCAGCCATCCCGGGCCTTGTAAATTCTGTATCCTTATTTGTTTGAATGAAGCCCAGTTCTTATAACTATCCACCATAACAACACAGTATTTAGTAAGATTTGTGCTTAATATAATATATAAAATCCCAAAAGAATCTTTATTTCATCTGACTAAGGATACTATAGCATGAAAATGCAAAATTGTGACTTAATGAACTTCTCCTTTGGATTAGTTAAGCATATTGTATGGAATATTCTTTATGAATATGGATTATGTCATGACATGGTCAGGTACACTGATGTACACCTATGTTCCCAGGATCTCTCCTTCATAAAACTTCTTAATACTAGTTTTTTGCTCTCCAGTTTTAAATTTTCAGGAGAAGCCTAAACTTTTTCTTTTTTTTTTTCTTTGAGACAGGGTCTCACTCTGCCACCCCAGCTGGAGTGCAGTGGCACAATCTCAACTCACTCCAACCTCTGCCTCCCTGGCTCAAGCTATTTTCCTGCCTCAGCCTTCCAAGTAGCTAGAACTACAGATGTCACCACCACGCTGAGCTCTTTTTTGCATTTTTAGTAGAGATGGGGTGTCACCACATTGGCCAGGCCAGTCACCTCAAGTGATCTTCCTGCCCCGGTCTCCCAAGGTGCTGAGATTACAGGTGTGAGCCATCTCACCTGGTCGAGAAACCAAAATTATTAATATTTACGCTAAACATGTTCTCATATCTTCTCCAGAGTGCCAAACAAAGGGGTGACTTAACAATTTAGCAGTTAATCTGATTCATGGAGAAACTGGGCAGAGTAATTTACAAGGTAAATGACTTGGCCTGATCATTCAGCGGGGATGTTTCCTTTATTCATATAAACCTTAACTTAGTTTTCTTTTCACTTTGTGTATCATTTCAGGATTAAAAAGATGTTCTCAAAGAATCAGGAGAATATCTAAGTGAGGAAGGAGTAGATAAACAATTCAGGTTATAGTTTTGGCTAAATAATGTCATGGTCTTTGATTTTTTTTTTTTTTTTTTTTTTTTTTTTTTTTTTTTTGAGATGAAGTTTCGCTCTTATCACCCAGACTAGAGTGCAATGGCGTGATCTCAGCTCACTGCAACCTCTGCCTCCTGAGTTCAAGCAGTTCTCTTGCCTCAGCCTCCCAAGTAGCTGGGATTACAGGCATGCACCACCGTGCCCAGCTGATTTGGCATTTTTAGTAGAGTTAGGGTTTCACAATGTCGGTCAGGCTGGTCTCCAACTCCTGACCTCAAGTGATCCACCTGTTTCAGCCTCCCAGAGTGCTGGGAAAACAGAAGCGAGCCACTGTGCCCGGCCAAAATTTCTCTTAAATGTATTTCAAAGGCTGTTTTAATAGAATCATAACAACTAATGTAATGTGTGATCTGGATTGGACTCCAAACTAGAATTTTAGAGTGGAGGGGTAGAAAGGATACTACTGTGATAACTGGCAAAATATGGTCTTTAAATGAGACAATAAATAGTATTGTATCAATGTTAATATCTCCCTGATTTTGATAATTTTATTGCAGTCATGTAAGAGAATGTCCTTGCTCTTAGGAAATACACCCTAAAGAATTCCAGTGTAAAGAAAAGAGACATTTCCTGTCAAATCTACAGCTTATTTTCAAAAAGTTCAGGAAAAAAAGTTTATATATTTATGTCTACATATTACACATATACATGTATATACATGCACAGTACATCAAGAGAAAATGATAAGAAAAGCATGGTAAAATAATAAGGGGATTTGAGTAATGGGTAGGGGAGTTCACTGTATTATTCTAACTTGTCTATAGGTAGGAATTTTTTTGAGGCACGGTCTCCTGCTGTGGCTCAGGCTGGAGTGCTGTGGTGCAATCACAGCAAACTGCAGCCTTGACCTCCCAGGCTCAGGTGATCCTCCCACCTCAGTCTCCCAAGTAGCAGGGAACACAGGCACATACAACCACACCTGGCTAATATTTTTCTTCTTATTTTTGTAGAGGTGGGGTCTCCCTAAGTTGTTCAGGCTGGTCTCAAACCCTTGGGCTCAAGTGATCCTCCCACCTTAGTTTTCCAAAGTGCTGGGATTACAGGCATGAATCACCATGCCCAGCCAGAAAAAATTTTAAAATAAGAAATTTACTTCAAAAATTATTTAAGCTAATGTAATTTCATTCATCATATCCTATAATCAAAACAAAGCAATGTTAATTTGACATTATAAAATATATATCTCAATTAACTTCTTTCCCCACACTACATCAATGTATCAGTTAATCTTAATACTATACTAGTGGCATTATTACTTAGGAAAATACTATTTAAATTTTATCTGATAATAAAATCACTGACTCTCAAGGTTAGAAGGAATTAAGATATCAAACACCTCAAATAAGCCTCTGTGTTGGCTGGGCACAGTGGCTCATGCCTGTAATTCTAGCACTTTGGGAGGTCGAGGCAGGTGGATCACTCGAGGTCAGGAGTTCGAGACCAGCCTAGCTAACATCGTAAAACCCCATCTCTACTAAAAATATAAAAATTAGCCTGCCATGGTGGCAAGCAGCTGTAATTCCAGCTACTTGGGAGGCTGAGGCACAACAATTGCTTGAATCCAGGAGGTTGAGGTTGCAGTGAGCTGAGATTGTGTCACTGCACTACAACCTGGGAGACAGGGCAAGACTCTGTCTCTTAAATAAGTAAATAAATAAACTTCTGTGTTTCCAGTGTAACACCACATGGAATTATATCGAAAGCAAGCAGAGTGTGAATCATGCAAGAGTCCAGCACAGAGAGGTTATACCTTGAACTGCTGTTGATCTCTACCCAGCCCAGCTTCCAGAACACATGAAGCAAAAGTCCACCCATGAGGGTCTGCCACCTGGAAAGGACAAGAGGTTAGGTGAATTTCACAGAGTGCCATGGTTGGTCTCCAACACCACCCAGCCCGGTCAAACCTGCCGACTGACACAAAGAGACACATTCAACTCTGTTTACCACTCTTTTATCCCACTCTCTCCCAATTATCCCATTTCTCAGAACTTTCCTCTCTATTCTCTACAGTCCAGCTGCCCAGTAAGTACTGACGTGAACATTCTTCTCCTCTTATTCTAGACTTTTCCCAAACAGCCTCAGTCATAGCCACTGCTTCTCCCACTGCCTCTTCATTGATGAGTCCCGAATCCCCGTTCTCACTTGGTTACCGCCATGGTGATCTCCCACGAGCTCTCAATAATGATGATTATTGCTATTATTCATAGATTTGGAGGTATACGTGCATGTTTGTTACATGAATATAGTGAGTAATGGTGAGGTTTGGGGTTCCAGTGGCCACCAACTGAATAGTGTACATTGTACCAACAGGTACCTTTTCAACCCTCAGCCCGTTCCTCTCCTCCCTCCCAAGCTCCCAATGATAACATGCCTAAATCATCACCCGGAACCTCTCCCTTAAATCATCCTCCCTATCCCTAATCAGCCAAACTAAAAACCTAGATGGCATCCCAGCTCACCTCTTCGGCCTTCACCTCCCTCGTCTAAGCACAATATCCTATTGATTTTATTTATATCCATAACAGCACTCAAATCTGAAGCCTTCCCTGCCAACCCTCCTGCCTCTGTCTCAATTCAGGCTCTTATCACCTCATGCCTGGCTCACAGCATTAGTCCGTTAACTGGTCCCTGTCTCTCCAAGGTGGCCCTTCATCCATTCTTTACTTTGCAGTCAAAGGGTCTATCCTAAAATGTGAATTTAATTGTCCTACTTGCTTGTTTTAAAAACAGATGAGTCTTCCTGGTACCACAGACAGCAACCCTCAGCCTCTTTTCTGCCAACACAATCGGGGTCATGAAGCTCACCCGAGACACACTGCCCCCAGCATGCATAGTGCAGAGGCAGCACAGGTCACAAACACCTCTCCCTTTCCCAGTGCAGAAAACACATCAGAATGCCAAATGAGTGAGAGGCATAGTAGCTTGCTCTAATTGCTTTTTGAGTTTAGGTGAGTCATTCATAAATTTCAAAACCCTGTTTTCATTATAAATGACTTGAGACACCTCACCTCGGAAGTGACTATGACCACAACATACTCGTGTTGCAACACTACAGTTGAGAACTCTGGCCTAAAGGACAAAGTCACTTGAGTGTGACACACCTCTGGGACTTGCACCTGCCCCTCTGCAGGGTCAGCTGCTGTCTGCTTGCTGTGGGCAGTCACATGCTAGCCACACAGGATGGCCCACAGCCTTGGGAATATGCCAGGTCATGCTGAATTCTGAGAGTTTGGGTGTGCCGTCCTCTTGCCCCATAATGTTCTTCCCATCTCTTTGTCTGTAGTGGATACTGCTCAGCCTCTAACACCTAGTTTGTACATATCCTGTGTGAAGTTTCACTGACCCAGCCAAGCAAAACACACCAAATGTGCGTCCTGCCTTCAAACAGTTTGGTCTAGCACAGTGATTCTCAACCAGGCGATCTTCCCCTCCAGGGGGTATTTGGCAATGTCTAGAAAAACGTTTGGTTGTCACAGCTGGGGAAAGGAGCAGAAGGTATGCCACTGGAATCTAGACAGGCGAAGCCAGGGATGCTGCTAAGCATCCTACAGTGTGAATGGCAGTCCCCATTGCAAAGAATTCTCCAACTCCAAATGTCAGCACTGGAATGTCATTCCAAGGTGGAGAAACCCCAATCTAGTGAAAGTAAGGTAATTAATCAGTAATTACAAACAAGTGTGTGAAGCCCTGAAAAGAAGTGTACCAGGTACCATAAGCCACTCTCTTGAGAGCCACTAACCTAGTCTAGTGAGCGGGTAAGACTTCCTAGAGAAAATAAATTTGAACAAAAACCCAAAGCATGTTCAAGGCAAAAGGCCCAGAGGTGAGAGAGACAATGGCTTCATTCAAAGCTTCTTGGAGAAGTTCAGTTGGTCTGGACCCCAGCACTGGAGCATTGGAGAGGGGGCAGCAAGAGCTGACCCTGGAAAGAAAGGGCTGGTCCTGAAGAACCACGTCAATCATAAGGAGCTGGGACTTCAAACTGAAGACTCACTGAAGGGTTCTGGGCACGGGAGTGACACTGTCATTACCTCTGGGGAAGCTCCCTCTCTTTACAAGGGAGGGAATGTTTCTGAGAGAAGCAAGACTAGGGGCAAAGAAGTAAGTTAGCAGTTTTTATAGTAATTGGAGAGGTGACGGTGCCTGGAAAGGGGCAACATGGATGAACAAAGTGGACAGATTCTGAAGATGTCTAGGAAGCCCTGGTGGTTAACTGGATGTTGAGGATGAAGAAGACAAAGGAAACAAGAATGACTCCCAGGTTCTGAGTTGTACAGTCGGATGCAGGAAAACCATTCACTGCAGGTGAATTTAAGGAACAGCCAGAATTTAAAAAGCAAGCTCCATGAGAGCAGGGATCTGTTTTCTTCACTGATGTGCCCCAAGCATCTGCAGAATACATTACTCTGTCCTACCAGGCACCAGGCATTGTTCTAGGCACTGGAAATACTCCAATGACAAAATGGATAAGTCAAAATTCCAGCCTTTGTAGATCTTACACTCTATGGGGGAGGTGCATTCAGTCTGACTCACCCAAGGACAAGGAGGAGAGTGGCAATCCAAGCATAGAGATCACCCCTTTCTTATGCAAATTCCTTAAGTCCCTCTACCTTGAGAGATGCGGAAAGATAGCCAGGACCAGAAAACACTTGCTACTCTGTGAGAGAGAAACCAGTATCCCAGCTTTATTGACTAAAATACACATAATCACAGAAGATACTTTAAAACTCTGCTACGAGGCCTGGCACAGTAGCTCATGCCTGTAATCCTGGGAGGATCACTTGAGGCCAGGAGTTCAAAGCTGCAGAGAGCTATGATCATGCCACTGTATTCCAGCCTGGGTGACAGAGAGGGAGCCTGCCTCTACAAAAACAAACACATTTGCTATGAAGTATTAGGGAGGAGCTTGACAAAGTATTTTAAAGTTCACCTGAAATAACGTACTGGTGATAATATAACGAACATTTTTTTAAAAAGGTTAAGAATGAAGCCAGGCGCTGTGGTTCAAGCCTGTAATCCTAGCACTTTGGGATGCCAAGGCAGGTGGATCACCTGAGGTCAGGAGCTCGAGACCAGCCTAGCCAACATGGTGAAATCCCATCTCTACTAAAAATACAAAATTAGCTGGGTGTGGTGGTGGGCACCTATTATCCCAGCTACTCAGGAGGCTGAGACAGAAGAATTGCTTGAACCCAGCAGGCGGAGGTTGCAGGGAGCCAAGATTGCATCACTTCACTCCAGCCTGGGAGGAAAAAACAAAACTCTGCCAAAAAAAAAAAAAAAAGGAGAAGAATGAGGGCTGACTTGCTCTACTACATATTTAAAAGGTTTAATAATTAAAACAATTCAGCATTAGTCCCTTATCATCAAAATTGACAAATGAGTACCCAAAAAGAGACCCTAGAAAAACAACTTTATTATTTTTCATCTTTTATTTTTGGGACAGAGTCTCGCACTGTTGCCCAGACTGGACTGTGGTGGCGTGACCTCAGCTCATCGCAAACTCTGCTTCCCAGGTTCAAGCAATTCTTGTGCCTCAGCCTCCTGAATAGCAGGACTACAGGTACTCACCATCACACCGGGCTGATTTTTGCAGTTTTAGTAGAGACAGGGTTTTGCCATGTTGGCCAAGCTGGTCTCGAACTCCCGGCCTCACGAGATCCTCTTGCCTTGGACTCCCAAAGTACTGAGATTATAGGCATAAGCCAACTCGCCCAGCCAAAAAATGACTTTATACAGATGCTCCTCAACTTACAATGGAGTTATGTCCCAACAAATTAATCATACATTGAAAATATCATAATTGGCTCGGTGCGGTGGCTCACACCTGTAATCCCAGCACCTTGGGAGGCCAAGGCGGGCATTTCACCTGAGATCAGGAGTTCGAGACCAGCCTGGCCAATGTAGTGAAACCCCGTCTCTACAAAAAATACAAAATCAGCCAGGCATGGTGGCGCATGCCTGTAACCCAGCTACTAGGGATGCTGAGTCAGGAGAATTGCTTGAACCCAGACAGGAGGCAGAGGTTGCAGTGAGCCAAGATCATGCTATTGCACTCCAGCCCCAGGAGACAGTGCGAGACTCCATCTCAAAAGAAAAAAAAAAGAAAATGTCATAATTGAAAGAGCGTTGAATACACATAACCTACCGAACACCAGAGCTTGGCTTTGCCTACCATAAACATGTTCAGAACATTTACATTCACGTGGCTGGGAGCTGCAGCTCACCACTCGCTACTACTGCTCAGCATCAGGGGAGAGTATTGCATGGCATATTGCTAGCCCGGGAAACAGCAAAACTCAAAAGCTGAAGTATGGTTTCTCCTGAAAGCATATTGCTTTCACACCATCATACAGTCAAACAATTCTACGTCCAACTGTCATTAAGTTGGGACCATCTGTATATGAGATTAACAATCATATACACATTGCTATGCCCTTGGGCATAAGGCAAAAGGAAGGATTATACAATACATGAGGCTAGTATAAACCAGTTAACTACTGGGGAAGGGATAATTTCCTTACATTGCACCATATGCTAAATTAAACTGACAATGATTAAAACTTGAATAAAGCTTTAATGAAATATAGGTGAACATCTAAATGAATGTTATGCCTTAGGCATAAGGCAAAAGGAAGGATTATACAATAAATGAGGTTAGTATAAATCAGTTAACTACTAGAGAAGGGACATTTTTCTCACATTGCACCATATAAATTAAACTGACAATGATTAAAACTTGAATAAAGCTTTAATGAAATATAGGTGAATATCTAAATGGCTTTATGATGGAGAAGAAAAAAAACATTTAAAAAATGGAAGTAATTGTGAATGAAATAATCAATACATTTGACCACATCAAAATATTTAAATAATCAAAATAATTATAAACAAATCAAAAGACAAAGAACAAATTGCAAAAATTATTTCCAAAAACATGATGGACAACTGGTTGACCTCCTTAAAATATAAAAAAATTTACTAAATTAATAAGAAAAACACTAAAACCTCAATGAAAATAAAGGGATAAAAGGTACAACTAGACAATTCACTGAAAATGAGATACAAGTGGATAACATACATAAGATAAGAAGATTGTCCAACTTGATGAATAACCTAAAAAATTATACAACAAAACAATATACCTCTTGCTCATGAAATCAGCAAAGAGAATCACAGTTTGAGGCTGGGTGGCAACGTCAACTGGGAAAACATTTTTGGAAAAGAATCTGTTAATATTCAAGATGAATACTAAAGATGTTCATGTACTTTAACTCGAATTTATTAATTTTTATTTTTTTTAGAGACAAGATCTCACTCTGTCACCCAAGCTGGAGTACAGCAACATGATCACAGCTCACTGCAGCCTCTAACTCTTAGGGTCCAACAATCCTGCCTGTACCTCCAGAGTAGCTGAGACTACAGGTACATGTCACCATACTCAGATAATTTTTTTTAAGATTCAAGGGGTGCATGTGCAGATCTGCTACATGGGTACATTGCATGGTGCTGGTTTCGGCTTCTATTGATCCCGTGACCCAAAACAGTGAACATAGTACCTAATAGGTAGTTTTTCAATCCTTACTTATCTCCCTCCCTAACTCTCCCCTTGGGGAATCCCACTGTCTACTGTTCCATCTTTCTGTCCGTGTGTACCCAACGTTCAGCTGCCATTTACACGTAAGAACATGCAGTATTTGGTTTTCTGTTTCTGTTAATTCACTAGGATGATGACCTTCAGCTGCATCCATGCTGCTGCTAAGGACATAATTGTGCTCTTTTTTATGGCTGTGCAGTATTTCACGGTATATATATGTACCAAATTTTCTTTATCCAATCCACGGTTGATGGGCACCTAGGTTGATTCCATGTCTTTGCTATTATGAATAGTGCTGTGATAAAATACATATGAGCGTAGGTATGTTTTTGGTAGAACAATTTATTTTCCTTAGGTATACACCCAGTAATGAGATTGCTGGGTCAAATGGTAATTCTATTTTTTGTTCTTTTAGAAGTCTCCAAACTGCTTTCCATAGGGGCTAAGCTAATTTACAATCCTGCCAACAGTGTATACGCATTCCCTTTTCTCCAAAACTTTGCCAACATATTATTTTTTTGCCTTTTTTTTTTTAAGACAGATTTTCACTCTTGTCATCCAGGCTGGAGTGCAATGGTGCAATCTTGGCTCACTCCAACCTCTGCCTCCCAAGTTCAAGCAATTCTCCTGCCTCAGCCTCCCCAGTAGGTAGAATTACAGGCATGCGACACTACGCCCAGATAGTTTTTTAAATATTTTTAGTAGAGACGGAGTTTCACCATGCTGGTCAGTCTCATCTTGAACTCCTGACCTCAGGTGATCCACCCACCTTGGTCTCTCACAGTGCTGGGATTACAGGCATGAGCCACCACTCGCAGCCAGTTTTTGACTTTTTACTAATAGCCATTCTGACTGGTATGAGATAGTATCTCATGATGGTTTGATTTGCATTTCTCTGACAATTAGTGATAGCAGGCAATGTTTCATATGTTGGCCACTTGCATGTCTTGTTTTGAGAAGTGTCTATTCATGGACTTTGCTCACTTTTAAAGGAATTATTTGTTTTATTTCCTCGTTGATTTATTTGGATTCCTTATGGATTGTGGATATTAGTCCTTTGTTGGATACATAGTTTGCAACACTGTTTACTCTGTTAATAGTTTCTTTTGCTGTTCAGAACGTCTTTAGTTTAATAAGGTCCTGATGGTCAATTTTTGTATTTATTGCATTTGCTTTCATCATAAATTCTTTGTCTATGTCAATGTGCAAAAAAGTATTTCCTAGGTTTTCTTGTAGGATTTTTAGAGTTTGAGATCTTAATCCACCCGAGTCTTTAATCCATCCTGAGTTAATTTTTATTTATAGTAAGACACAGGGGTCCAGTTTCATTTTCTGCATATGGTTAGCCAGTTTTGTTTTTTCTTTTTTTTTGTAGAGACAGGGCCTTGCTATGTTGCCCAAACTGGTCTCAAACTCCTGGCCTCATACAATCCTCTTGCCTCAGCCTCCCAAAGTGCTGAGATTATAGTAATGAGACACCATGTCTAGCCTAACCCAAATTTCTTATATAGGAATCAATCCCAAAGAAATCATTGGAAATTTGGCAGAATTTAACACAAAAAATGTCTTGTAACATTGTTTTCATACCCCCAAAATGGAACAAAACTTAAATGTCTCTTAATAAGGTGGCTAAATATCTTACAAGATATCTATTTGACAACAAAAAAACTCTATGCAGTTATTAAAACTATTTCAAATAATGATGTTGATTGGACATTTCCTAAAAATGTATATAAAAAGCAAAAAAGATACTCACCCTTGGAATAATGTAGGGTAGGTAAATTTCAAGACAGACAGGACATACTGAAAAACAAACAGCAGATTGTTGGACATTTCAAATGATAGAAAATTGACAAACCAGACAATCAAAAAAATTTCTATTAAAGAAACAAAAGCACATGTCAGTTTTTAAAAGGCCATTATTCCCACCAAAATCACAAACTGGGCAAACAAATGACCTCCCAAGTCATACTAAAGTGATTGGGCTGGCCGGGCATGGTGGCTCATGCCTATAATCCCAGCACTTTGGGAGGCTGAGGCAGGCAGATCACGAAGTCAAGTGTTCGAAACCAGCTGGGCGTGATGGCATGCACCTGTAGTCCCAGTTACTCAGGAGGCTGAGGCAGAAGAATCATTTGAACCCAGGAGGCAGAGGTTGCAGTGAGCCAAGATCACAACACTGCACTCCAGCCTGGGCAACAAGAGCAGGACTCTGTCTCAAAAAAAAAAAAGAGCTCATGAAAAAAAGATCATAAACCCCCCAAAAAAGTAGGTGAGGCCATGTGAAAGTTAACAAAAACACCCGTATCTCTCTTTCTTTTTTCAAGCGATGTTCCTGCCTCAGCCTCCCCAGTAGCTGGGATTACAAGCATGTGCTCCTACATATACCCAGCTAATTTTTGTATTTTTTAGGAGAGACAGGGTTTTGTCATGTTGGCCAGGCTGGTCTCGAACTCCGGACTCCAGATGATCCACCCATCTTGGCCTCTCAAAGTGCTGGGATTACAGACATGAGCCACCATGCCCAGCCTCATATCTCTTTTTTCAGTGCATTGTCTACTTATGCCTTTTACCCATTTATTTTCACTGAGGTTTTAGTATTTTTCTTATTAATTTAATAAGTTCTTTGTATTTTACAGATGCCAACCACTTGTCCAGAATCGAAATGAACTTTGCTTCTGAGCTGAAGGCTCAATTTCTATAAGGGGAACGACAGCTGGCTGCCTAGGACCTGATTATAGCTGGAACCTCCCAAAGGACAGAGGAACATGTCATCAGCCTGGGCCAGCCCAGGCCACCAAGCCAGAGCCCAAGGGTGTGGTGCTTCCTCCTCCCTCTGTACCTAGGGCAGCTTCCTTTGACAGCACACTTGCTGCCTCAAACCTCTAACAAATACCATTCTTTCAAACAGTAGAAAGGGGTCAGAATGAGCTATATGAAATTTTTTTTAAAAAAGAATTTTCTTGGCAGGGTGTGGTGGCTCACACCTGTAATCCCAGCACTGGCAGTCTGAGGTGGATGGATCATGAGGTCAGGAGATTGAGACCATCCAGGCTAAGATGGTGAAACCCCATCTCTACTAAAAATACAAACATGGTGAAAACCCATCTCTACTAAAAATACAAAAGTTAGCTGGGCATGGTGGCTAATGCCTGTAATCTCAGCTACTCAGGAGGCTGAGGCAGGAGAATCACTTGAACCCGGGAGGCGGAGGTTGCAGTGATCCGAGATCGCATTATTCCACTCCAGCCTGGGTGACAGGGCAAGAAATTCCCTCTCAAAAAAAAAAAAGAATTTCCTTTCTTCAAATAAATAGGGGAACAGCTGAAGGAGAAAATTACATGAAGAAATATGGAAATAAACTAAAACAGAAGCTTCAAAAGCTAGAAGAGAGCATCCTCTAATTTAAACAACAACAACAAAAAAAAACTTCACTAATTCAAAGAAAATTAATGTGGCAGAGAAATTACATGCTCTCTGCCACATTAGAGTAGAATAGGCTCATAATAGACAAAATACACTCATGGGGTGTCCATTGCAGATTTCTTCCCAGTTGGCCTCTACTTGGTCCAAGCTGACCCACCCAGCCTTGGCTGCCAGAAGGGAACACCACCATCCTGGTTGAGAAGATGAAATAATGGCCATAAAAGTTCAAGCTTTTAAGAGATATAAAGTTCCTCACCAGAGTCCCACAATGTACAGCCACTACTGGCACCCATACCTGGTTCTCCTGTCTCTCTACTCCACTCTCGAGCTCACCTCCTCCTCCCTCTGAAGACAATCTCTTCCTTCTCCCTTTCCTTCCTGCCTTCTGCTGTTTTTGACCTACTCTTTGTACTAGCTCTGACACTTCCAGCATCACCAAGCTAAAGCATTCCAAACCATTGTATTTACATTCTCAGGGCCCTTGGTCAGCTATGAGTTTGATTATTCAGATTATCCATTCCTGAGAAGAAACAATTTTCATCTAACATCAAAATGCATTATGCATATGGAAAGTATTGTTTTGATTAAATGTGTTGGCTCGGCACAGGGGCTCACACCTATAATCCCAGCATTTGGGAGGCCAAGGCAAGGTGGGCAGATCGCTTGAGCCCAGGAGTTAGAAACCAGCTTGGGCAACATGGCAAAACTTTGTCTCTATCAAAAAAAAAAAAAAATACAGAAATTAGCCAACATGGTGGTGCACACCTATAGTCCGAGCTATTCAGGAGGCTGAGGTATGATGATCACTTGAGCCTGGGAGGCAGAGGTTACAGTGAGCCATGATTATACCACTGCACTCCAACCTGGGTGAAAGAAGAAGACCCTGTCTCAAAAAACAAACAAAAATTTATAAAATACCTTGGGGCTCCAATAAATTTTGTAAAAGTGCCACAAATGAAAATGTACATCCAGGCCAGGTGTGATGGCTCACGCCTATAATCCCAGCACTTTGGGAGGCTGAGGTGGGTGGATCACCTGAGTCAGGAGTTTGAGACCAGGCTGACCAACATGGAGAAACCCCACCTTCACTAAAAATACAAAATTAGCAGGGTATGGTGGTACATGTCTGTAATCCCAGCTATTTGGGAGGCTGAGGCAAGAGAATAACTTGAACCCAGGAGAAAGAGGTTGCAATGAACCGAGATCACACCATTGCATTCCAGCCTGGGCAACAAGAGCAAAACTCCATCTCGAAAATAAAATTTAAAAAGAAAGAGTAAGTTCCAAAGGCCAAGTAAGTAGAGCCAGTAAGTAAAACCCATCACTGCCTACCAGGAAGGCTGCATTTATGGACCTTTAGAGGCTTATTGCCCTGACTAAAAATCAACTGGAGGCCGGGCGCGGTGGCTCACGTCTGCAATCCCTCAGCACTTTGGGAGGCTGAGGTGGGCAGATCACCAGCGGTCAGTAGTTAGAGACCAGCCTGGCCAATATGGTGAAACTCCGTCTCTACTAAAAATACAAAAATGAGCACAGCATGGTAGCACACATCTGTAGTCCCAGCTACTCAGGAGGCTGAGACAGGAGACTCACTTGAACCAGGAAGGTGGAGGTTGCAGTGACCCGAGATCATGTGACTGCACTCCAGCCTGGGTGATAGAGGGAGACTCCATCTCAAAAATAAAAATAAACTGGAGAGGGAAAGGGGGTTGGGGAGCATCCTCTGGATATATAAAGAGAGGCACTCTCTGTAGGAGAGGAGGCAGAAAGAAATGCTGTTTGTTGATGGTTCTTTTCCAGAGAGCAAGAGAGGGGAGAGGAAAGGTGGAGAGCAGGGGGGAGCCCACAGTAGAGACCCCACAGTGCGGCCATGTGTCCTGCACTCTGTATTCCCACTTTTGCTGGAGCCAGCCCAAAGTCCAGGCCAGCAGGTGATGCCCCAGCCACGCCCACTGGGTCCTACTGGTTCCACCATTTCCCTGCATGGTACCAAACCCAAAGTCAGCTTCCCTCTCTTTGCAAAATAAAGTCCCAAACCTGGTATTAATGCTTCTCTGCCTCCTCACCAAAAGGGCTTCATGAGTTCATGACGTATAACCTAAAATTAAATGTACGTTTTATTTTGAAAATAACAATTCCGACCGGGCGTGGTGGCTTACGCCTGTAATCCCAGCACTTTGGGAGGCCGAGGCCGGCAGATTACGAGGTCAAGAGATCGAGACCATCCTGGCCAACAGGGTAAAACCCCGTCTCTATTAAAAAATAAAAAAATTAGCTGGGCCTGGTGGCGTGCGCCTGTAGACCCAGCTACTCGGGAGGCTGAGGCAGGAGAATTGCTTAAACCCGGGAGGCGGAGGTTGCAGGGAGCTGAGATCGTGCCACTAAACTCTAGCCTGGTGACAGAGTTTTCCTCTCATAAAAATAATAATAATGCCATCAGAAACGCCTTAAGTGCTTACAATGGAGACATACAAAAAAATTGATTCGGGATTCAGCAGTGTGAGGGGGAGATGGCTTAATCTCTTCTATTTGAAGGCTTCTGGACTCTCACGGAACTCTGGGACACTGGCCTGCTTAGAAAAAACGCAAGATGTGTCAGATTCTTCTGACTCTTCCTCCCCAGGGAGAGCAGGAGCCAACTGCTTGCTTTCTCTTAAAACTAGTCCACACAGCCCCAAACCAAGTTCCCAGAAAATGGGCAGCCCTAAAATCCTGTTTCCCAGGAGATGTGCCGCGCTTTACAGTGCAGGAAACGGGGACAGTACAGGCTGGCAAATCCTATTTCTAAAAGAGCATCATCCCTTATGGAGGTGGTTCGCTCTCGATCGCCACCAGGAAGAATGAGGCAGAAAGTCGGAGGCTCGGTTTGTCACAGGCAGATGATGCGGTTCAAGCCTCCCACGTGCAAGCGCTGCCTCCCGCGCCCGCCCCCTCACCTTGTTCGTGAGGTAAGAAGCCAGATAGCAGGTACAAAAGGTGAGGCCGACCAGGGGCTTCCTCACGCACATCTGTCAACTCGTCCCCTTCCCGGGGACCCGCGGTGCCTTCCCGAACCCCCGGCCCCCGCCGGAACCCTGCGGCAGCAACAGCAGCCCCGAGACAGCCACGTAGCTCCGAGCTCCGCCAGTCAGCGCGGGGACCGCCCCCCTCCCCACGCCCCGGCGTCTGCCTCCTTAAAGGGGCCGCGCCCGGGAAGGCCCTGCAGCCTGGGGATGCGCCGAGCCGCATCCAGCCGGCGGTCTGTCTGCAACCAAGGATGGCACCGGCTGTGGCCGCCGGTACAGGAAGGTCGGACGGCCATCCTTCTTTTAAAAAGTAGAACGTGGCAGAAGAGGAAAAAAGCATACCCCAGTTCACAATACCCCATCACTGTTTAAAGAAAAATGTTCGCCGGGCGTGGTGGCTCACGCCTGTAATCCCAGCACTTTGGGAGGCCGAGGCGGACGGATTACCTGAGGTCAGGAGTTCGAGACCAGCCTGACCAACATGGAGAAAGCCCTTCTCTACTAAAAATACAAAATTAGCACGACGTGGTGACACATGTCTATAATCTCAGCTACTTGAGGGGCTGAGACAGGAGAATCGCTTGAACCTGGGAGGTGGAGGTTGCGGTGAGCGAAGATCCTGCCGTTGCACTCCAGCCTGGGCGACAAGAGTTAAACTCCGGCTCCAAAAAAAAAGAAAGAAAGAAAGAAAGAAAAATATTCATCGCTATCTCTAAACGATGGAACCAAAATGTTACCCGTGCTTTACTGTATTTTCCCAATTTTCTCCACTGAGTCTGCAGCGCTTTGGCAAAGGACACAACAAAAAGGTAACAACAATAAATGTTAATGTAAAAGGAAGATGAAGGAGGAAGGAACTGGAATTGAGGATAAGTCTTTTTAGTTAGTTTGTTGTGCTTGTGTTTAAGTAAAGTCATTCCATGTGTTAACATTTCTATAAAATATGAACCCTTTCCCAAAGAAGAGTTTCAAGCACAGCCCCTATTCCTGTTTCTAGTCTGTACGGTGGAAAATTGGACTCACGAGGCTTCTGGCGAATATTAGTAAACCGCAAGAAAACCTACTGATGGACTTGGACAGTAGCAAGAAGTGCCAGTGTTCTCTGCCTATAGAAACGCAGAGATTTTCAGAAACACCGCACACATGGGGAAACCATCACTCTTAAGCCACAGCAAAAGTCTTCCTGGCCCTTGGTGCCAGAGCAGTGGATGGAAAAGGACACACCACCCCTTTGGCAATTTTTCTGTTTTTCAGAGGCATGCCTTGTTTCTCGCTGCTCCCTCCAGCGTTGAGGAAGGAATGACTTTGGCTTGTCCCCTTGAAGCCATTCCCCAGCCTCCACTGTCCCATCGCAGTCCTTTGACTCTGCTCACTTTTCCACAGGCCTCTTTCTGGGCCTGCTGGTTGGTCTGCAGAGGGGACTAGCATAGAGATGGAGGTGGGCTGGTCACCCCTTCCCTCCCTTTTCTCCCACAGTCTCCATCAAACCATTTGTACAGGTGGGTATAACTTTCTCTACTGAGACTAGGTGATATGGTTTGGCTGTGTCCCCAAATCTTTTTGAATCATAGTTCCCATGTTATGGGAGGGACCTGGTGCCAGATAATTGAATCATGGGGACAGTTTCTCCCATACTGTTCTCGTGATACTAAATAAGTCTCACGAGATCTGATGGTTTTACCCCTTTCCCTTAGCTCTCATTTTCCCTCTCTTGCCTGCTGCCATGTATGATGTGCCTTTTGCCTTCCACCATGATTGTCAGGCCTCCCCGGCACCATGGATCTGTGAGTCCATTAAATTTCTTTTTCTTTGTAATTTACCCAGTCTCAGGTAAGTCTTTATCAGCAGCGTGAAAACAGACTAATACATTGGGTTATATAAAGAAAAAAAAATACAGAGCAGGAAGAGAGGAGATGAAGCTTCAAATGCATTGCATTTTCCTCTACATAGAAATAAAATCATGTAAGAACTTAACACTTCACAAGGGGGCCCCTTCACAAGCCTGCACTCAGTTCTCACCCATCACTCTTGTCCCAGGATCTGTGTCTCCCTCTCTAAAACACCAGTCTTTAATGGCAATTTTAAAAGATCATTGTGGTCGGGCGCGGTGGCTCACACCTGTAATCCCAGCACTTTGGGAGGCTGAGGTGGGCCACCTGTTATATCCACCTGTACAAGTGAATCACCTAAGGTCGGGAGTTCAAGACCAGCCTGACCAACATGGAGAAACTCCGTTGTACTAAAAATACAAAATTAGCCGGGCATGGTGGCACATGCCTATAATCCCAGCTACTCAGAAGGCTGAGGCAGGAGAATCACTTGAACTCGCAGAGGTTGCAGTGAGCCGACATCATACCATTGCACTCCAGCCTGGGCAACAAAAGCAAAACTCTGTCTAAAAAAAAAAAAAAAAAATCATTGTAACAAGACCAATAGAATAGAGATCTATAAAAGGAACAAATAATAAACCAATACCACGCTGTTAACTACCACTACCCACATAACCAATATTAACAGGTTGGTGCATCCTTCTACAGCTTCCTTTGTATTCATAGATCAACATATACCCATTTATAAGTTGTTGTCTCACAAAAATGGATCTAGCTATTCACATTGCTAAACAACTTACTTTTACAACTACAGGTCAACACATACAGATTTAATTCTTTTTAAAAGCTGCAGGCATTCCATAGTATGGATATACCATGATGTATTCAACCAGTCTGCTGTTGACATAATTATGGTGTTTATAGTCTTTTGCTACAATAAACAAGGCTATAATCAACATCTTTGTACATATGTCTTTACCTCCTGCTGATTTAATTTCTGTAGAATAGATTCCCAACAGGAAGATTGCAGAATCACAGCATGTGTGTTTTTTTTTTTTTTTAATCATTTCTTTCTACTTCCCTGTACTATCTGCTTGTGGGAATCCTACTTAGGTCCAGCTCTTCTCACACACTTCAGGCAGAACTTTTTCTCCTCTCTTTTCCATTACTACTTTTTAATACCTGTTATAATAATTAGCAGCTTACATCTTTTTTCTACATAGTGATTCACAAAGAAAATTGTAGTATTTCAGAGCCCCTGGCTAAATTGCTGACACTGCTTAGGGTCTGAAACGCCGTCCAGGCCTCCCTGAAGTTGAGGAGAAACTCCTGTAACTCTTGCCCAGCCACGCCAGTTAAGAAGCTGTATTAGGCTGAGTGTGGTGGCTCGTGCCTGTAATCCCAACACTCTGGAAGGCTGAGATGGGTGGATCACCTGAGGTCAAGAGTTAAAGACCAGTCTAGCCAACATAGGGAAACCCCATCTCTGCTAAAAATGCAAAAAATTAGCTGGACGTGGTGATGTGCACCTGTAATCCCAGCTACTTGGGAATCTGAGGTAGGAGAATCACTTGAACCCAGGAAGAAGAGGTTACGGTGAGCCGAGATCACACCCTTGAACTCCAGGCTGGGAGACAGAGTGAGACCCTGTCTCAAAAAAAGTAAGAAAATTAAAAGAAGCTGTATTAAAGTCAGGGTGTTGCATACCCTCTCTCCCCAGCCACGTGGCTGCTCTTGGAGAGCATAGGCACCCCTATGCTTAGCTCAGTGCCTTACACAAACTAGGTATACTGATACATGCATGGTGAAGGAATCTATCAACTGAACGAAGGCATCAATGAAGTACTGTAGGAATGGGATTTTAAAATGTTAAGCAGCATGGAACACATATAACACCAAAAAGCGATGGAATCCTTAACACAAAAGACACCTACAGTCACCAACTTGCCACATGGGCACCAAACAACCTCACAGGAGATTGCCTCACAGGATATTGCTATTAAGAGGATAACAAGGCGGGTGGATCACAAGGTCAACAGATCAAGACCATCCTGGTCAACATGGTGAAACCCCGTCTCTACTAAAAATACAAAAAATTAGCTGGGCATGGTGGCACATGCCTGTAATCCCAGCTACTCAGGAGGCTGAGGCAGGAGAATTGCTTGAACCCAGGAGGCGGAGGTTGCGGTGAGCCGAGATCGTGCCATTGCACTCCAGCCTGGGTAACAAGGGTGAAACTCCGTCTCAAAAAAAAAAAAAAAAAAAAGAGGATAACAACTACCACAAATGAGAAACTTAAATTGCATTGCCAGAAACAGATTTGTTGGTAAACTTCTTTGATAGTTCTTATTGCTTTGTTTCGCTATTGCCTAGGCTTTGGAACAATTCAGTTCAGTTTTAATTAGGAACTACCAATTCAGTTCCTAATTAAAGGTATTTATACTATATTAAGTTTAATCTCATATATTGTTATCAAAGAAATCTAATAGTTCTTTTTTTTTTTTTGAGACGGAGTTTCGCTCTTGTTACCCAGGCTGGAGTGCAGTGGCGCGATCTCGGCTCACCGCAACCTCCGCCTCCTGGGTTCAGGCAATTCTCCTGCCTCAGCCTCCTGAGTAGCTGGGATTACAGGCACGTGCCGCCATACCCAGCTAATTTTTTGTATTTTTAGTAGAGACGGGGTTTCACCATGTTGACCGGGATGGTCTCGATCTCTTGACCTCATGATCCACCCGCCTCGGCTTCCCAAAGTGCTGGGATTACAGGCGTGAGCCACCACGCCTGGGCAGTTCTTTTTTTTAAATTCTTTGAGATGAGGTCTTGCTCTGTCATCCAGGCTGGAGTGCAGTGATCTTGGCCCACTGCCACCTCTGCCTCCGAGCTCAAGCGATCCTCCCATCTCAGCCTCCTGAGTAGCTGGACTACAGGCACATGCTGCCATGCCCAGCTAATTTTTGTATTTTTTGTAGAGACTAAGTTTTGCTGTGTCTCCCAGGCTGGTATCAAACTCCTGGACTCAAGTCGTCCACCTGCCTTGACCTCCCAAAGTGCTGAGATTAAAGGTGTGAACCACCTTGTCCAGCTAAAATCTAATCATTCTAATATAAGATTGCAATATTTAGTTATTTAATTTTATTTTAAAGTTTAAAAAAATAAGCAGAATGTGAAATTGGTTTTCAATTGAATGCAGAAATGCCATTTGAGCGGTATATATAAATGTATGTGATGGAAGGTTTCCAGATATGCACAGAAATTCAAAAGGCTTCAAAACAGAG